AAGCTGGTTTACAATACAAAATGGACACATTAGGAAGAATTTATAAAAGAAAAAAAAATGCTGTTTACCTGATTTTTACAACATTTTTTCGGACTATTGCTTTCTCATGCTTCACAACCTTTTGTCATTTAAACTGTAACAACCCATTTTTTTCGTAGATATAATGTTCATTTCAATAGTTTGGCTCAATCAAAGTTTATAATAGACTCGAGCATAGACGACAGTTTTTAATAGAATGTACTAGTATTCGAAAGTAAATCTTTGGACTCTACAAATATAAATACCTACATATATAGATCATGATTAGATTTTCCAATTAATGTAGACCTTATTTTACAAACGAAACTGTCCAGATGTTAATTTTTATATGCACAGGTGAATCAATTGGTGTTTCACGTCAAGAAATGCTGAAGCTATATGACACTGATGGTAATGTTCCTCTCCATTCAGCAGTCCACTCTGGAGACATCAAGGTATGATTTTTGTAAGATAGATGAGGTAATGTTTCTCTCCATTCAACAGTACACTCTGAAGACATCAAGGTATGATTTTTGTTAGATAAGTGAGGTAATGTTTCTCTCCATTCAACAGTCTACTCTGAAGACATCAAGGTATGATTTTTGTTAGATAGGTGAGGCAATGTTCCTCCTCATTCAGCAGTCCACCCCAGTGTTATCAAGATATACTTTTCAGTAAGATAGGTGAGGTAATTTTCCTCCCCATTCAGCAGTTCACTCGTCCACTCATACCTTTCATTACGATAGGTGAGACATCAACATTGGCTCAGCAGCAAGTAAGAAAACAGTATTTAATAATGTATCAACCACACTATATCTGCCATATCCAGTCCAACACTAGGCTCATCAGACCAACTGGGATACGACAGACACAGTAGTGGTTTATGATGTATCTATATCATCTGCACCAACAACAACTGTGATGATGTGAACTAGATTAACAAAGTGAAGTGTAATTATTATCAATCTAGATAATTGGGACGTCATGATAGGTGAGTCAGTAAGATATATGAGGGACATCAAGGGAGGTAAAACAATAAGATGGGTTAAACATTGAGGTAAGATAGATGGTGGGCGAGGTATCAATAAGTCAAACGACTCTGGATGTAGAGATAGAGATGACATTAAGAAAGCTAAGAGGTAAGACACTAGTGGCTTTGAAGTCCAGCAAAACAAAAGTTCAAGAGAGTCAATGCATTTCACTTAACGAAATCAGTTATAGCTAATTTCCAATGATCGTCAACTAAATGTTATAAAACAATACTTAAAAACAAAATATTTAAATGTCTCATAGTTCTTTGAGAAAACTCACTGATTTTTTTTTTCAGTTTCACAAGGACTGATAAATGTAAATATTTTGATCAGTACTTAAATATTACGCAATTCTCCCTAAACATCGAATTCTAATACCCGCTGTGGGCACAGTACAGATAGTCTATTGTGTAACTTTGTGCTTAATAGCAAATAACCGAAAGCAATTTTATACATCATTCTATACATCAATGTGCATATTGAGGCATTAATGAGGCATGGTTTTTACTTGGTAACGGCATTAGTGAGGCATGGTTTTTACTTGGTAACGGCATTAGTAAGGCAAGGTTTTTACTTGGTAACGGCATTAGTAAGGAAAGGTTATTACTTGGTAACGGCATTAGTGAAGCAAGATTTTTACTTGGTAACGGCATTAATGAGGCAAGGTTTTTACTTGGTAACGGCATTAGTGAGGCAAGGTTTTTACTTGGCTAACGGCATTAGTGAGGCAAGGTTTTTACTTGGTAACGGCATTAGTGAGGCAAGGTTTTTTACTTGGTAACGGCATTAGTAAGGCAAGGTTTTTACTTGGTAACGGCATTAATGAGGCCATGTTTTTACTTGGTAACGGCATTAGTGAGCCAAGGTTTTTACTTGGTAACGGCATTAGTGAGCCAAGGTTTTTGTTTGATAACGGCATTAGTGAGGCAAGGTTTTTACTCAGCTCTATGAAAAATAAAGTTACATATCAAAAATATACAGTTGTACAATCTACAAAGTTGATTGAAGCGAAGGATTAAGTATAACGTAAGATTTATATAATTGTGCAAGTAACATTTGAACTTAAAATGTGACTGGGTGATCTTGAGTTAGTAGAGATTCGTTCGTACAAATTTATGTATACACTTTTAACCAGTGTCGTAAAATCCTCATAGATTTTATCATGGAAAACTAAACCTTAATGATCTTAAATTGAGTTCAAAAAAAGCCTATGTCTCATACTACATCTTAAAGATCTTTAGATCAAAATTAAAAATCAGTGTTCCTATGATAGACAGTAATGATCGGATTAAGGAGGAATATCGAGGTCCGATGGTAGACGTTGTTGGTCTTTTTAATATTATATGCCAAGGACCGATGGTAGACATTAATGATACTCAGGTTAAGATTGAATATCAACGGCCAATGATAGACGTAGTTGATCTTCAGGCTAAGATCAAAACTCAAGGTTCGTCGGTAGACGTTATTGATCATCAGTCTTAGATTAAGTACAACAAAGTTGGTAATATCTCAATAATGATCTTCATGTTAAAATTAGATCATCAGATCTGATGTAAGATGTTGATATCCTCTAGGCTATGCTTAAACATTGTGGTTTGATGGTGGACAATTTAAGTTCGGTTGACAGTTAGAGTATAATATTATGTTATGATGATGACTTCTGTCCTAAGGAGAAAGGTCTGAGTTTGATCATAAAACTCCGTGGCTCCCAGGTTACATTACATGATTTATTCTTGGAGGTTCACGTTAGGCGATATTCTTTAATCTAAGTTTCAATATCATTGTTGAATGACAGAACTTGAAGCATTACTAAGTTCGAAAACATGTGTCTGATTGTAGACTTTGCTAAATTTTTAAAAATAGGGTTCTGGTGACAAATATAGATGACTTCGTATTTAAGTTCATTTCTCCGGAAGGGGGCCGAAGTCTGCCTGGAGGAATTAACTGTTTTAATCACACTCGCACTACTATACAATAGTGTGTTGTCTGTCAGTCAGTCAGTAGACTCCAAGATGGCGTCACATAAGGGACGCTTAACGTTGCAATTTGGACCGTCCTGACGTCGGTAAAACGTGCGCATGCCACGAATCACGAAAAAATTATGCACTCTGTAGGCTACAACACAGCAAAAAAGTAAGAAATAAAAATATTTATTGTTTTTAATTTTTGTTTTATTTGCTCTTGAAACAGAACACTTTCGGGGACCCTGTGCAAGTACATCTAATATCTAGAGTTGTATAAGCTGAAAACTAACGATGCAAGTTCAAAGTTAGATGAAATGTTAAAACGAAGTGTCTTCCAGCTAAAGTTCTTACATGTTAGTAATATAGCGTTAAAACGTGATATTTTTCTGCTGTTGTTGGAAAGTGGACGTCTAATGGTGTACATTTGTTGCTTCGCGGTTTTAGTTTGAAGTTAGAAAGCATAACGATAAAATCTCAATACATTTAGGGTTAATCAAGAAACTAAGTTTCAGGGAGGAAAAAAAATCTGCTCAAGAGGATGAACTATACAAAATTACTTATCTTCATTAAGATCTGCAACGAGAAAACAATATTAAGAAACTCTGAACTGATGACGTAAGCAAAGTCTTCTAGATAGGAAGACTTGTAGATCTAGTTAAACATTCGTGCAATATAATGTTTCTTAGTCGTAAATGTTCCTTTAGTTTGCGTGGAGAGTCCCTTGTTTAATAAGTTAATATATTACATTGGCCACTTAACATGAAGTACCCAAAGTCACGATTTGTGAGCACTTTAAAAGCAATTTGGTCTCTCTAAGTAATGCAACCAAATTCAACGAGCTCATTAGCGTTCTTCAATAAAGATATCACATTATTTTTGGCATCTTAAAATATTACTTTCTGATCATCTTTAAATACACAATCATTTGCATGATTTATCGTGCTTTTACGTGCTAACGTTAAGTCAGTTTATGTCTGTAATACGATTTTAACGTTTCGTCATTAGATTAGTATAACTTTAACGTTCTAAACAAGTTTTAAATCTTACAGGAATGAACCGACCAATATAATCCGGCAATGTGTTATAACTCAAACGAACTACTTGATGTTCTGGTAAACTCAACTTTTTGTAGGTTTTAAGACCTGTGAGCTCGAATCAAGTTTTATCACTTGATAGAACATAAAACCGTTAACAAATATCCATTTAAGTAACTGAAATACATGATTTTAATATATTGAAAAATGGAGAAACAAATATCCCAAGTGTATTACTGGTGAAAATAAAGTCTATTTGTCACAGACAACCGATGGACAGTAACTTGCTGCTATTATATATATATATGTATATGTTATTAGTATCTATTAATTTGTTGGCTTTTAATTTATTTGATTATTTCTTAAAATTATCTTACTGTAATGAACGTAGCATGTATGTCAGTATCTATGTATGTAACCTAAACTTCTTCGCCATTTATTGAATGGCACCACAAACAAACATCCATAAATAATTTCACACTTTAGATATTCAAGATTCAGACAATTATAAAAACAACTGTGGTATGTGCAACAAACATTTATTTATAATAGAACACAATTATAAATAAAAATACTCTCTTCACAACAAAAACACGACTTTCACTAGAACTGTACGTGAGAGTTTGATTATATCTTTATTGATGTAATTTATAAATATTGTACTTTGAAACTGGAGATCTTAAAAAACTATTATTTTTTTCAAGAAACTGTACCACTTTTAATATATAAAAACGTTACAGTTTAATATTACGACTAGTTATTATTAGCACAAACAGTCGCCCGCATTTCTACTAGTTGTGTATAATTTTTCAAACTTTCTAATGTTAATAAGATTGCAAAAATAAGTGTTAATATATTCTTTAAATCTATTCGATAATATTCCTGTTTTTTTCGATTTAAAGGACATGTTTTGTATATAATATTGATTCACTGACTTTAATAATTGCTCGAAAGTGTGCTAAATGTAACTGTAATTATTACAGCTTTAAGCCTACTTTTCTGTTTGAGTTACAGGCGGTAAACCTCTGTCTTGAAAGTGGCGCCCTTATCAGCACCCAACAACACGATCTGTCAACTCCAGTGCACCTAGCTTGTGCCCAGGGTGCCATAGAAATTGTAAAGTTGATGTTTAATGCTCAGCCAGAGGAAAAAAGCGTCTGTTTGAATACCAGTGATGCCCAACAGATGACGCCACTGCACTGTGCTGCAATGTTTGACCACGATGCTTTAGTTGAGTATCTTGTGAATGAGGTATGTATTAGTTCTAGAGATTTTTACCACAATTTACATCATGCTTTCTTGTATTTCAACACGAGCCTTTGTGACTTTTTCATGATTTAAAAAAGCATAAATTAAAGGGAAAAAGTGCATAACAGGATGAAATCTTAATGTCTATTTCAACTATATATGTATGAATTATGTGTGATTATAAGGTGTCAGATTTCTCATTTGCTTTAAATACGTATTTAATAAAGGCTTAGTAAGTCACTTAAGGTAAGATTTACTAGTCAAAACTCATCACTGTTATAGACTTCAAGAACGTATACTGTTGGGAGTTATATACCATCACATCATATTTTGTTCAATGTAATTCAATGATGATTCTTAGGCTAATTAAGAGGCATACTGAATGAAAGCTCATTTTTACAGCACACGAATGAAATGATCTAATGCGAGTAATACCAAATTGCTTTATTTTGCCGTGTTTATTACATGATACCTACTGTTTTAGCTTTAGCAAAATTTTGGTTGCATTCCCACTCAAGCGTTTTGTGGTGGATTTCACGAATTTTTTTCCCCAGTTATATCAATCCAAGACACTTACAGTGTAACCATTTTAAAGCGAAGCAACTTATAAAGGGAAGTTATATACTGATCTTGATATTGCTATTATTGAACATATTATCATATAGATTACATAGGATTGGAAAGTGTGCTTGTTACCTTTAGCCGTGAGAAAGAGCCACAAGCAGCGGTGACATCAGATTATACTCTCGTTCTGATTTGAGCTATGCGAAATGAACTCTGGGAACGAGAGTGACCGGATGAAAGGGTGGAGAGCAAGTTTTGAAAATAAATATTTATCCACATCTAAAAAGAAGTAGGTAACTGCCTCAGATTTGAATTCATTGCTTCATACCGCTAGTGGCAGCATTGGTATAAATCGTAAAATTCGCTAGTAATTGTTTCTAGGTGCTCGCGTTGCGAGCGCTTACTCCAGCGTTCGCTACTGCACTCACTAGGTTTACTTACTTTTTGGAACACTTCCCTTAGTGATTATTAATGGAGAAATAAATGTTCGTTTGAAAGTCATTTTAATGCAGACTTTACCTTTATAAATGTATATTTACGTATTACAATATAATAATTAGTTTAAATAAATTAATCTTAGAATTATCGATGGATGTCAATTTCTAACCCATCAACATTTTAAACCCATTTTTCTACATATGCACCAAACTGCTTTTAGGTCTATGACCTCGTTGGTTCCAGGACTGCTCGTAATATATGAAACATATAAACATTTAGACAAAATTTTCATCAATATATCTTTCATTTCCTATTTTGTATTTTAGAGTTATTTTTGGTTACTTCATTCCCCTGAGTGTTATAACAGGTAAGAAACATCAAATTATTCAATATCATGCAACATGTGGAGTTCATCGGTAGTGAAAGATATAAGAATAAATCGTAATTTGGAGCTTAATACTTTTGAATGGTTTCTAATTTTGAAAGTTACTAGTAGAGCGTCGTAAATTTGCTGTATTTTAACTTTTACACAAGTTCGACCATTTTCAAGACTACAATTTTGGTTGGATCGTGCCCTTTAGTATCTTGTAACTAACTAAATAAACTGAGAAAAAAAATAGAAACCAGTTTTACACATAGACATGATCCATGCTTATATTTTTTCAAACCAAACAAATATATTCCTCACAGTTGAAGGTTACGTCCTATTTCCTTAATGTTTACTAGTAAGCATTATCCGGTTCGTCTTACTGTTTACTAGTACCATTTCCTTACTGTTTACTAGTCCTATTTCTTTAATGTTTACTAGTAAACAGTATCCGGTTCGTATTACTATTTACTAGTAAACATTAAGATTGAACAAACTTTTTAAATTCATTTATCTTAAATTTATGTTTCTAAACATAACTTAAGATGAAATTAATCCTAGCATTACTTGAGACTGTTGGACATCTGCTTCGCGAGTATCGTTTTGGGCTGCGGATGAGTAAATGTTATCTTAGGGAATCTGCAGAGCTTTCTTTATTTTCTTGAAATAATAAAGTGTCATAGGCCAGTGCTTGTCGTAAGACAGTTCCGGGATATTCCTTACTTTTGTTTAATACATCTTGAATAGGTTTGCATCAAGACAGATATCCGATCAAATTCCCGAATGCATAAAATCTGGTTTTTAAGCAGGGTAAATAACTAAAGTGTCTCTTAGTGGGTCAGTGGTAAATTTACAGGCTAAAATTCGGGGTTCAATTCCTTACGGTGGACAGAACACAAATAGTCCATTGTGTACGTTTACACTGAAATATAAATTAAGCACTGATTACAATACTGATGTGTTCCTTATATGTAAAAAGTTTTAAAGAACAACTCTGATATCTATACTATCACACACGCACTTACTTTTTGTCTTCAAAGTCCATATCGAAACGATTAACGTTCTTTGGAGGGGATATGAGTGAGACGAGCTATAGAAGGAGAAAATGTTAAGTTTGCAATGACAAACAAGAAGTGATATAACATTATGTATTTTATTACCTAGCGCTATTTGTGTGTGTTTTTTAAAAGAATAATTCGATTTACAGGGAGCTAATATCAATGCTGTGGACAAAGAAGGAAGAACAGTGTTGCTATTAGCAGCCGCCAGGAGCGCTTGGAAAGTTATGAAAGTTTTGCTTCAATCAGGAGCAGAAATGGGAACCCAGGATAACATGAATCGTAATCTTTTACATCACATTGTCCTTGCTGGCGGGTCTCTGGAGGACTTCTGGAATTATCTCAACCAGGTATGTTACTTATCATTACTTGACAAAAAACCTTTCAACTGGCATATTGAATTCAGTAGTTTGTAACCATTCGTTGTTGTTTTTTTAACTCATGTTTTTAGTCAATGTTAGCTGGTTCGAGTATTTACAAGTAAGAAACAAATTGTTAAGAAAAGAAGACATAGGACGTAAAAAATGAGTCAGAGAAAGCTAAAAACTTCGTCTCAAAGAATTAGATTTAAATCTCAAAATGAGTCGGAGAAAGCTAAAAACTTCGTCTCAAAGAATTAGATTTAAATCTCAAAATGAGTCGGAGAAAGTCAAAAACTTCGTCTCAAAGAATTAGATTTAAATTTCAAAATGAGTCGGAGAAAGTCAAAAACTTCGTCTCAAAGAATTAGATTTAAATTTCAAAATGAGTCGGAGAAAGACAAAAACTTCGTCTCAAAGAATTAGATTTAAATTTCAAAATGAGTCGGAGAATACTAAAAACTTCCAGAGAATCATTATAAATGCCAAATATACGTTGCAGCAACCTATGGTCAGTAATAATAACTAACTTCCAATGAAAATGAAATACATAAAAATATATTTTATTACGTCATCGAAATAAGCTAAAAAATCAAAAGCCGAAAGAAAACGTATATATATAATTGCATTTTCCAATTAACTTGTATGCAAGTAAAGGAGTTCATTTCAGATTTGGTGTTCAAAACTAGATAAAGACTAATCTCCCACCCACTGCTTAGCCGTAAGCCTAAGGGCTTATGATGCTAAAAATTGGGTTTCGATACCAAGTAGGCAGAGCATAGATAGCCTATTGTGTAGTTTGCGGAATATGCCAAGAAAGAATGTTATTTGATTGCTTAGATTCTGGTGTTACACTTGTAACCAGTTTTGAATAATTTCAATAAATCTTTTATCTAAATTTTCTGTTTCTAGCACCCTCTGATCAGATCAGATTATTATTTTTTATTTCATCGGTACTTTATGGAAAGAACAGCTACTATGAATAATCCATTTTGTTATTTAAAGAAAGACCGTTGTGTAAATTACTATTTAGCTTTGCTACGTAATTAGTATTTTTTTGGAATATTTCTGAATTATTAAGTCCGCTTGTTCTTGTGTCCTTTGGAGTTCTCGTAATCTGAAAGCTGTCTGGAGAATAAGATCTGAATTAATAAAAGACCTCCCCCCCCCACATTAACGTTGGCCTCATATTTTGTGTTTCTTCGAAACGTAAATTATTTATTTCACAAATTATGAAATATATAAATCCCTGCTTTAGTTGCTTAATCGAAAGTTGAAACATTTAAAAATAAGGTTCAGTTACGAGAAAAAAAATGTTTTTTTATATCTATCCTCTGTTTTAGTGAAATAGCTTGAGATCTTGCTCATAGTTTTTTAACACATAAAGTGAACGTACTAAACTACAAACTACATGGGCCGCTAAGGGAACAATCAAACAAAGGGCTGGCTGTTTTAGCTGTACCCACTGTGAGTACGAAACCGGATTTTAAGTATTAAAAGACATAAAGTTTACCACGTTGAGCCAGCTAGAGACAGAGGGAACTATAAATGAAGGTTGTTTAGATAAACTAATGGTAGATAACATTTAATGAACAAAATCATAACTTATCCGATGTACCACACGAATATTACACAAAAGTATTACATGTATCAAATAACAGTAATTTCCTCAATATGCATCAGATGGCGCTACAGAGATGGGATACCTCACAAAGGCTTTACTTTTTTACACTTTTTTCATACAGAGCAGAGAGATGTAAGTTATAATACCCCTCAACACATTTATATTTTGATTCCATAGTTCTAGTAGGTTAGACAACTGCTATGTGGTATTTATTGTATGAAGGTAAGAGCGAAATTGTTTTCGATAGAGAAGGTAAAAACTAATTGAAACTGTTGATGACATTAGTAAATTGGTCAAAATATATCAATTAAGAATTAATTAATATGGGTAACAATTGTAAACGCTTGGTTATACAATAGTTTAATAAAGCGTTATGACATCAGATACTTGTTTTTTTCTACTTCATACGAAATTTGTAAATTACATAAATTCTTTTTTTTTATGAAGTTGTTAAGATTTCTACTTTATCATTATAAATTGTGTTGTTAAGCAACGTTTTTCCATCTAATTGCAGTATGACTTGCATAGGTGTTATTATTGCTTTTGAATTTTAAATGATTTAAATGATACAGTTCCTTCATGGAATAGATATATAGTAACCACATACACAATTTTCATCACACGGAGTCCACATTTTGATAAAACTAATATACACGTAGGAGAAGTTGTATTTATAAGAATGATTTGAATACATGAATACAGTAGATGCAAACTGTGGAGCCATTAACGACATATTTAGCGCCATAATTTTATTTTATGGTGAATTACCAATCATTCTACGTGCTATGCCACCGAGGATGACCCTATGGTTATATTAAAGTGTCAAACCTTATATGAGGAAACACATTTATAGAGTGAGATTGTTAAAGACTGTAAGGTTAAATGACACGCCATTCTGAAAAAGAAGCTCTTAAAAATTCCTCCTGCAGAGAATTTAGTACAGCTAAATAACGTTTAGTTTTAAAAGTATAATTCATCCATCTCTCTCAGGTTGATATATTTTTTTCATTTCAATATTGATTCAATCTCATGTTTACTTTCTGTTTACATTCTTAGCATCATTTCTATAATAAGGTATTTCATATCAATGTCGATTAAACGCGTGTTTATATTACTTGTGTTATTTGACCCAAAGTATTACACGTAAAACGCTAAATTACATCCATTTAGATACGTTTGACAAAACGAACTCTAACTATTAATGCCAGAACTCTCTTAGAAGTAATGTATTTTCCCCAAACCTTATACTATGTATATCGAAAGTTTAACTCTAGACCCGACATTGAATAAAAATAATAAGCTTTAACCAATATCTTCCCCAGCACCAAGGTTCGAGCATCGCCAGTTTGATGAACGAAAGAGACGTTCACGGCTGTACCCCGATGCACTATGCTTCGAGGACAGGACATCTGAAGACAATCCGAAGTCTTTTGCGGCTAGGAGCAGTCGTCAATCTGAAGAATAACGATAACCAGTCGCCCTTACACTTTGCTGCAAGGTAAACAAGTGAAGGATGAAATGTTAGCTGTCTCAGAGCTGTATCCTAATTATTTCTAATGTTATTCCGTATCAGATTAATGACATAGATATTTGAACAGTACATAAATATAACACACAGACTGTTAGAGGATCAAGGAGTTTTAGTTTTGCAAATCAAATGTTACACACAAGTTTTAAGAATGAGGCAGCTAACGTTATATATGTTCAAAATGTGCTAACTTGAATAGATTACAAGATATCTTTAGGTACTTTAGTTCATCTTGTAATTACAAGTAGAATACCATTACCAGGTTTTACACATTTTTAAATATTATATAGATTAGTGGATTTATTAATGGCAAAGCTATATTAATGCTATATGTAACCTTAAAAGACCAAGCGAACACTTCTCGTTTTCATTCTATGTTGTAAGTATTATATTTTCAATATAAATATAAATACTTAAAAAAAAACGCTTTAAAAAGTCACGCATTAATTTTATTTCAGCAATTCAAAGAATTACTTTCAAATCCCGAGTCTTCCGTTTGAGAAAAGCAGGCTATTTTATCTCTTTTTATTAAATCACTGTACCAGTATTTTTGAATCAGTGACGCTAATTTGCTCAAAATCGATTAATTTTTAAATTTTTCATCTGGTCTTTAATAGGTATGGGCGTTACAATACAGTGCGCCACCTGTTGGAAAGTAATCGAGGGACTTTGATTATTAATGAGATGGACGGAGAAGGAAAGACACCGTTGCACATTGCGTCTGAAAATGGTCATACAAGAGTCGTGTATTTGTTGCTTGTGAAAGGAGCTTTACTCCACAGGTGAATAGACTGGGTCTTAGATCAGTTCCAGGACATTTGTATCCACGATGTGATTGATTCGTAAATTATTAAATATAATAATGAATATTCAATATGAAAATATTAATTCTTTAGACTCAATACACGGAAGATAAGTATACTAACACGAAATATCAGTTTTTCCTGTGTTATTTATTTCACAAACTAACGCTCACAAATTTTACAATCGTCTTCAGGTTTTTTAATATGTGGCCTAATTGACAGTCAATCAATTAAAAATATTCGAACTTTTAAAACAAATAAGATATGACGTTTGTTACGCAATATTTTTATGCCCGATATTTGTGGTATCATTGTAACAAAAGTAATTGTGGTTAAAGGCTTGCGAATTAGAGAAAGATAACACGGTAGAAAAAGCTTCGTTTTTATGATTTAATTTAAATAGTCATTTATGAGATATTGTCAGAGCCAAAATTCCCTTTCAAGTCTTGTATTAGTTTTGACTTGCATATCAAAATTCTCTACACGTGACCTTGCTAAATGAATTAACAGTACAAGGCATCTGTGGCATATGAAGTATTGGGAATAGTTCACTATAAGCAAAAATATCAGATCATAAACTGTAGAGGTTCTTACTTGGTCAGGATAATCTTATAGACATATAGCTTGCATTATCTTTCTAGCCCTATTCCCTAAAAAGCATTTTCTATTGAACTGTTAGTTCCTTGATCTGAGGGCCCAAGCTGAATCTGATTGTTGGTCTCTACCAAATATTATTAACCTTGGTGTGTGTAGTGAACTCCACATTGTTTGTCCTTCAATATGAATTATTATCCTAAAGACAAATTACAGAGAAATAAACAGAGGCTAAACATCCAGTTTTTTATCCAGTTACTCTCATTAGACAATGAGAGTAATGGATAATAAACAGAGGATAAACAATGAAAAGTAACTGGATAAACAAAAAAAGTTTATTTAGTTTTTAGCATAGTTCTAATAATAATAATGACACTGACGATGTTATGAAAATTTGAGTGTTTGAGTGTTTTTTCTTTAAATTGAAAACAAAGTGATATTTGATTGAATGAAAACTATAGAACGTTCTTCAAGCTGATATAATAGAGCACTCTAACCTGTGTGATTGGGTTTGCACGACATTTTAAAACATGATGATCCTTTGATAAGAGTGAGTAAACGTGAAACCCGCATGAACACTCTGTGTAGGTTAGTTACAATCTGTTCTACTCTCCAGAGATCACAAAGGCAGAACTCCGATGCATTATGCTGCTATGAATGGATATACCCAGACAATAGAACAGCTGCTGTCATTTCACTCTCACCTTCTGGACCAAATGGACCGAGATGGGGTGAGCACCTAGCAACAAAAACTGTAAATGTTTTTTTTATAGAACTCTTTTAGAGATTTTTATGGACAAGTGTTTTATGTTTCTTAGCGACAAATGTTTTGTTTACCCCTTAGTGACATTTGGTTTTACATTTTTTCTCAACATAAAAGCTGATGGGGTACTCATACAGAAATTGTATGTTTTTTCTGTCAACTTTTTTCAAGATTTCTGTTGATACATGATTTATGTTTTTTAGTGAAACATGTTTTTTTATTACCAACTAACGTTTAGTTTTACATTTTGATTTTTGGTAAACCGTATTATATATATATATATAGTTGATGCTTGAAACCGTATTATATATATATATATATAATTGATGCTTGAAACCGTCGGTACTTGGTGAAACTCCATAATTACAGAATTGAGGAAAAGCAAGACAATTATATGTTTCGCAAAATACATTATTTATTACGACCAGTAGCCCCCAGTGGCACAGCGGTATGTCTGCGGACTTACGACGCTAGAATCCGGGTTTCGATACCCGTGGTGGGCAGAGCACAGATAGCCCATTGTGTAGCTTTGTGCTTAATTACAAATAAACAATAATTACGACCAGTAATCTGATGATGCCTTTACGTAATAAATGATGTATTTGTGAAACGTACAACTGTCTTGTTTCTCCTCAACTCCATATTGTATATTTCCAAGTGACAAATGTTTATATATATATATCTTTAGCCCTATATGTTTTACGTATGAGTTGTAGACATTAATGGATTTACATTGGTTTTGCGCATTTAAGTATAAGTTTATTTTTTAACGTTTATTTTAGAAGTCGCTTGGCATCTCTCTAAGCGTTACAAATCAATAGATGTAAAATATAATTTCATAATTGTTTCTGCAAAAAATATTTTGGTGAAATGTAAAAACTGTGGCTTCTTGCTGTATAAACTTAATACCTATCCATTAGCCATTTAAGACTAAACTAGTGGCATTTTTAAAAATCCTGAAATGATAGTGTAGTGTTTAAATAGACATAAAATAAAAGTAAGTGTAAATTTTTATTGCCGTAGTGTAAAAATTGTTGTACTCCTGTTTATGTTGTTAAGTTTCACTTTTATAAAGTAGCCTAGAGACATTGATCTGAGTTTCAGGCGTGTGAACTAAACCTAGGGAAAAATATGCTGGCGTGTAAATATTTAAAGGTTTTTATTATTTTTTAAATATGTGAAGTCAGTTTAACGTTTCTTTCACATTTTCAAATTTTGATCTAGAATACAGCACTCCATTTGGCAGCAATGAATAATAAACCTGAGTCAGCGAAACTCTTGCTAACACTTGATTGTGGTATTCTAAGAAACAACCAGGATATGACTCCTGTTGACTTCGTTCTTTATTTCAAGCACAGTGAGGTTGCTATGGTAATGGTCACACATGAAACTCGGTATGTTATGTATAATTTTAGCAAGTATTATAACAGTTTTGAAACTAAACGGTAATATTACTCTCCCCCCTCTTGATATATATATTTAAATACATCCTCTAATCTAAACTTTGAGGGCACAATGTAAGGATCAGGAAATAAATACCTGTTCATCAGTTAGGTTTAAAAGTGATTATTTCCATTCGACCAACAGCATCAATAAATATAGTCAGAGGTTATTGTAGAAAAGAGCATTTTTCATCCGTTCCTCAAAGGAAGATCTTGTAAAGGTTACGTTTTCTTTTTTTCATCTGTTCCTCAAGGGAAGATCTTGCAAAGGCTACGTTTTCTTTTTTTTCATCCGTTCCTCAAGGGAAGACCTTGCAAAGGCTACGTTTTCTTTTTTTCATCCGTTCCTCAAGGGAAGACCTTGCAAAGGCTACGTTTTCTTTTTTTCATCCGTTCCTCAAAAAAATATCTTATA